AAAGTTGTTGAGTAACATAAATAAATGAAGAATCAGTTAAAATTCTTGCTTAAAGTTAGTGATTATTTGTTATTAAATGCACAACACACACACATACAACATATATATTCCTGATAATTGAACAAATTGGGCACATGGACCTTTTTTTTTTTGTATGTTTTTTTTTTTTTTTTTTTTTTTTACTGTTTCTCAAGGATAAGGCCCTACAATACATTGACTTATTTCCATTGTTACTAACAGTACAAAATAAACCCTTAAAAATACAATAAATGCCCGCAAATATAAATTTTTGCAGCCTGCCTAATGGACGTTTTCATACAATGCTCCCATTTTTTGTTGCATAAGAATGTTATCTTTCAGATTGTACCTGTATTTCTTTAAAAAAAATTTTAAAAATGTGCAATTTAAAAGATAAATTGCGGGAATAAAATAAATCTTTGTTTTTAATAATGTATCTGACTAACGTAGTTTATAATATATGCAATTCATTAAATTTACAATACCATATTAGTTTGTGTATTCATCCTCTATCCACAATTTTTTACTATTTTTACGTCTGGAAAATCAAGAGAGAGAAATTATGCAGCTGTACCATTTCCGAGATGCAAGTCAATTAAAAAAAAATAGCACATTAGAAAACACATGTGAATATATATACTATTATTATTATTATAGACTGTCATTCTTAGAAATTAAAATTACTAATTTCAATAATGATTTTTGTTTACATAATACTTTCCTGTCAGTGTATATATTTTATGTTACCATAAAACAGTATACTTTTGTATACTGAAAAGTGTTAGGGGGATAACATGAGAAATGTTGAAGTAAATATGGTACAACTAATAAATAATTGTGAACATTTATGCCATTACTTTTTTAATAAAAACATTTCTAATACATTATATGATATAATTAGGTGCAAAATAATGAGTTATTAGAGAGAATGATTTAATAACTACATGTATTTTTTTCTCTGAAAGCAGAAATGTCTGGCAGTGTGATATAAAATATTGTATTGGTTATTGTTGTTCACAGATTGGAGCAGATGATGATCCCAAGTCATTTTTGATAGAAATATCTTGGGTTGAAAAATATCCATATGCACCTCCAATAATCAATCTGGATGCATTTTATAACAAAAAAATGTAAGTTTGCCCATTTGTTATGTTTGCAGTATTCGTTAACTTTAGTTACAGTAAATTCCTAATATTATTTTTCTTAATTTGTTCAGTAATGTAGTAAAAAGCATATTAATATCCCATAATAATACTTTCTAATAGTATATATTATGTATTTGGTATCAAATTGTTGATTTTACTAATAGGTTTTGTTTGTTTACTTGAACCCAAATATATTTTCTGAGCTCGGTTAAATCTTTGTGAAATACAGTACAAAGTCCCAAATCCAGACTCGTCGGGACTTTCACAATTCCGGATTTGGAATTTTTCCAGATATTAGATTATCAGTTTAAATCTAGTAAGATGGCATGTAGAAATAATTAAATTAAAAATATGAAATCGTGATTTAGAAATAATTAAGGATTTATTATTAAGGGTATCAAAATTACAAAAAGCTTATATTTTTTTTTATTATTAAAGATTTCTTCATGTTGTTAATTGCTCATTTGTTGTGCTAATACTTTCTCTTTAATTCTATAGACAGACAATTTTCTTATTCCGTTACAAAATCCACTGTAGAGTCCTGTATTGCGTATCTAGAATTTGACTAACTTGCCAATCAAATTTTTTCGTCACTCGGTCGAGTGGTATTTTCTGGATTAGAAACAATCCTACGTACAAAATCCGAGGCGATTCGTCGGACTTCGGCATTCTCGATTCGGATTTTCCGGATATAATCATCAGTTTAATCAGTAAGATGGATGTAGAAATATAAAATTAAAATATGAAATAATGAAGTGTTATTATCTAAGGGATCAAATTTACAAAAAAAAAGCTTAATATTTATTAATTACCTTATTAAACATTTCTTTCAATATAAGTTTTTTGTGATAATATTTTCTTTTTAATTCTATAGACATACATGATCTCTTGTTTAGTTACATTGTCCTGTAACTGCTGTTTCGAGAATTCCGACTAACTTATCAATCAAAATTTTCTTGTTTTTGGTAACTTCTCTGTCACTTTCTTCACTAACGTTAGAAGTATTTTATGGATCTAGAACCATACTACAAATTTCGCCATTCGTTAATTGATTAATGCTTGAGAAGATTTATCATCACAATGAAAAACTTCTTTTGTATCAACTTCATTTATTACCGCTTCTCCACATTTCTGTACAAAATCCATTAATTGGAAAATTTCACCTTTGTTTTGCGATATCTGAACCTTTAAATTACGGCTATCATCATCAATTTAGCTACCTTCACTGGACAAGTGGCTATGCTCATGAGCTGCGACTAATGACATTGTCCATGAATTTATCTTGCTTCGTCGTGACGAACATAAGCCTGAATTTCTTAGTTTTGTCTATCATATCTTGCCATGCTTAGGCTTACATTTTGACTAATAAATCCCACATAGATTAATTTATGAGTGCCGGCACAAGTGTCATTTTTGATAACTACGTGATAAAGGAAAGTTAATAAATAATGATTTCCCAGGTTGGCATCAGATCAACGATGTATCTATGTGGAATGTTTCGGTTTGAGATATGTGTCAAGCAGATATGCAGCAACAGAGCCAACTTACTAATCATACAAATTTATGCTAAAATGATTGTTTCTTCAATAACAAAGTATTTTATTTAGTGTTGAAGTGAAATTAATAATTGGAATTCTCCACATGTTTTATTATGCATTGGGGTGGGGTGGGGAATCAAATGCGTATGCGTACAGCACACACACAAATATATATTATATAATAATAGTAATAAAAAGTTGGTAGTGGCCTTGAGGTCCAGATTTTAGATCATTCCGGATATTGGACGTGCAGATCTTGGACTTTGTACTGTACCAAGCAGACAGAGAGAATCTTTTGTAGCTGTGTACTGCTTTCTTACTGGTGTAAAAAAATATGGATATTTTGTAAACTTAAAAAATTTTTAATTGTGAATGTGACAGTTGTATCAACTATAACTGCCACATTTACAAAATTATAAAAAAAATTTATTTTATGTAATGTATATGTCAGTAAAAAAGACCCCTGAATACAGGTAGTTACACTTAGATTTCAACCTTGGCAAATAGACTGGTTGTATTTATTGTTTTCATAATCTTCCATATATATATAATGCAAATACAAGCCAGTTTTCTATAGAAAATTCTGCACCAAGGAATCCATCTTAGGCAGATAGCCCTCATGTGTTTTGCTGTATTCAAACAAATACATAAAGTAGTCAAAACAAACAAATAATTTTATTTTTGTATAGTTTTTATGATCTTTCTGTGTTTAATATTAATGTATTTAATTACCTTCAAAAACACCCTTAAAATTTCATTAATTTACTTTTAATGTACAAAACTAATCATATTATAATTTGTACTATATTCCTTCTCATTTGCAGCATTCCAGAAGTGAAAAAAACTGTTATTAACAAACTGTTGGAGGAAGTAAGTAATTTCCATTCCGTAATTAAGAATTGTATTTTTAAATGTAATTAAGTATTGAATACCCAAATTTAGTTTAGGTTTGTTATTAAAATTTGTTTGTAATATTTAGAGTATTTTATATTTATACTTCTGTAAACTACTACAAGAGTATGGAATGTGCCCCAATACAGTGTTATTTCATGCAAAAAAAAGCAAGTAAACCTTTATGGTAATTCATGACACGGTGGGATATCGCTTGTTCCACCGCACATCTAGAGCAATAAATTGGCGTCTTTGCCTGAGTGTAAATTCTAACATTCTTATATAAAGAGCTGGTTTTAGCAAACATACAAAAAACGTTTTTGAATAATTATCTAGAAAATATTAGTCATATTCGCAAAATAAAAAATATTTGTTTTAAAAAATCTACATAATTTTAAAAAAATCGCTCCCTGTATGACTTTTTAGATATTTTTTAATGATTTCATAACAGATTTGAAGCAGAGGAGATTTTCACTTCAGTACTTTATTTGCAACAGGTTTGAAAAGGAGGATATATAGAAGGGCGTCATAGTTATTTACATTTCACTTCTTTTTCCTTTGCTTAGGATATTTTTCTATGATGAATCACACTCACACATCCATTCAGTATTGAATGACATTTCATGTTTCAGGGTTAGATTTTCATTTCTTTCGGAAACAATACTAAATCTTTTTCAAGTTTTAGCATTACTGCAACTTATTAAAAAATATTAATTTGCATTATCTATATATGAAATCAACAGGATACTTGAATTTAAAAAAAAAAAAAAAAAAATTGAAAGACACTTAATAGCAGCATTTCCTACTCCTTGGATATATATTAATTAAAAATATTTGTTATTTTCAATTATTTTAATTAATATATATGAATTCAAATAATAATTTTTAGTAGAAAAGGAAACTGTCAGATAAAAATATTCATTCTAACACCAAAAGTTGTTGTTTAGACGATTTAAATCACATAAGAAATTTTAAAAAAAATAATCTGCTCTAAAATTAGACATGCATAGAATTTTTTCTATATTATTTCCATGAATGAATACTAGTACTGCCATCTGTTAATTAATTTTACTTTCTGTGTTTGTAACACGTTTTTAAGTTTAGAAAAGATCATTTAATTAAAAAAGATCATTTGTTTGTGAGTACAGACCGACTGTCAGATGATTTATAAGTAATAGAGGAACATGACCATGTTTTGCATTCCATAGTTGTAGCAAGTTTTCTTAATATGAAATTTTTTTACATTATACATCTTCAAACATTGGAATATGGTTAAAAACAAATAAATCATTTTCATTCTCTAAAAGTGCTTAAGAGATTTAAAATTGGTGAAGATAAGTGTATTGAAGATGCTGGCTAACTAAAAAGAATGAAGTGATAATTTAAAACAAAAGACTGTTTTAAATTAATAAATATGGTTTATTTAGTAATTCAACTTAAAAATTTGATAATCCAAGGTTTAAAATTCTGAGTTTGGTTTTGGAGTAGCAGTACCTATGCAATGTATTTTTTGCATAAATCTAATGAAATATTGTTTCATAAATTAATAATAATTCTACAATTTTTTATTAACTAAGCTAATTAAAATTATTTAAAATAGAAAAATTTTTCTATAATTATAAAAAAAAAAAAACTTTAACATGATAGCTGAAAATCACAAAATCTCATAAAATCATTTTAACTTTATTGCAAATTTGTGCTGCAATTAAATTAGTACCCTAATCATAATCCATGCTGTCACGTTCTTTTATTTGTGCATTTTATACAAATAAAAGAACATTTAATATTTATAATAATTTTATTACCTAATTACAGGCTGAAGCACAAGTTGGAACTCCTATGACATATACGCTATTAGAATGGGCAAAAGATAATGCAGAAGAACTTACAAAATGTCAACCAGAAAAGCTTCTTTCACCAGAAAGTACATCTTCATATGAAGAGAAAACACCCCAAGATGAAATGGTAAATTATGTCATATCTCTCTATATTTAAGTTTCCTTAACTTACATAAGCAAACTGAAGTATTTATAAATATGAGTTTCCTGGACTTAGAGCCAGTTGATAATTCATACACATGGCTAAGCAACCTGATGACAGTGAGGTTAATGTTCAAATGTGAAATGAATATTTGTTATTTATTATATTATCAAGTAACTATTAAACTTTATAAAATTGCTAAGAGAGTTATTGAATTATCTTCCAAAATATACTTATACCAGAAAATTTCAATTTGATAATTAATGTATCCAAAGACATGTTTTAAATCAAAAGTTTGAAACTTGATGGCTAAATGTAAATATGAAAGTATGCAAGTTTTAAATATTTGTAATTAGGCATATGGGGACAGATTCAGTATTTTAAAAAGGGTAAAGCAAACAAGCCTACCTACAGGGAGAGATGCTTTCATGGAGGAATTTCAATGTAAGACTGATTTTGAGTGTGTGTAAAAATAATGCATGTAATTTTTATTCAATATTTACATATTTGTTATGTAAAATTTCTGATATATGCTAAATTGTGAACTTCTTTACACGAAAAATGTAGTGGATGCACGGAAAATGAAAGATTTGCACATTGTGAAAATCAAAAAATATATTTGCATATCCTTGTAAAAAGCATGAACAGAATACTTAAATATTTATTAAATTATTTATAAATGTATTTGGAAATAAAGGATTTATTAATTTATAAACTTCTGTGAATATATAATGACCGTAACATTTACTTGTAAACATAAATTGAAATTCTGTTGACAAATAGATTTATAAAATTATTTAATCAAGAATTGTTTGTACTCGTTTGGTTTAGTTGATTATGGCAAAGCACATTAAGGCTGACTTTCTAAGGAAAACTGGCTTGTATATATGTTTCACATGGGTAAAACCACGAAAACATCCATGCAGCCAGCCTGTTTGCTTGGAATCGAGCCCGGGTCAGAATTACCAGTGCTGAGTAATTTTTACCACTTGGCCACTGGTGAAGCCCTTTCATACTGGAAAACAATCTATTAAAAGTTGTAAAGCACAGATTATGAGATACATACTTAAGGAAGTACAATCTCAGACTATTAAGAAGTAGAATTTTTAGGATTAGACTAGAAGTAGAATTTTTAGGATGTGTATTGTATGAATGGTAAACACATTTTGAATAAGTATTAAAAGAATTACTTCCTTACATTTTATAACTTTTGTAAGTTTTAAATAATATTAACAAATCTACCTTTTATCCCCTTCATATACTCATAGAAAGTTAGTACATGGAAATTAGCAGCAATATTTTTAACATATTTCACTTTTAAAATAAAAGGTACTCTAATTTGAAATAAACCGAAGAGAGCATTAATTATAAAGTGACTATGATTTTTAATTTAAAAGATGGCTCGGAAGCTGAAAATCATATATTTGAAGATATTTAAGAAAGAAGCTTTTTAAATAGAAAAGAAATTGTGCATTTTTGTAATCATTAACCAAATAAAATCAAATTGCCTTAAAATTTCTTTTCAATGTAATTAAAGGAAACATTTCATTCAAAACTGTTTGGGGAAAAATATAGCATTTAATGCCATTCAGAATGAAATGTTGTTTAACCCCTTAACTGCCATGGGTGTATATAAACGCCTTGCTTAGCCAAAGCGTTAACTGCCCTGGGCGTACATATTACACTCTTCTGAAATACTATCATTTGCTTTGCACTGCTACCAGTAAAATTATTCCCAAAGCTTTGGAATGCAACATCACAATGACCTTGACAGAGTACAGGAAGGAGGATACTGTTCAGGAAAAAGGGGGAAGAATTTGGAGAGGGGGATGTTTCTAAAACCATGAAATTCAAGACTGCATGGTTATTGCTCATGTTCCATTCCTGTTTGAGTAAAACACTTTTTTTTTTTTTTAAATTCTGTGCCCTCCGTTTTCACTTACTGTTTGTAGAAGGTGCTTTTTTTTATGAATATTCTGATAGTGATGATTCTTTTTTGAATTATTTTTTGATGAACTGCTCATGCTTCATATTGTTCCTGAAACTAACCGTTTTGCAGACCAGTATATGAACCAACATCCTCCAAAGGAAAAGTCAAGAACAAAATTGTGGCATCAAACCAACTCAGAAATATTTGTTCTTCTAGGTATACTGATTTTATAAGCATAACACTGAAACCTGTTATTACACTTTACTGGTATAAAAATAAGTTGATCAAAAACTCCATTTTTTTGGGATCTTTATTATACAAACATAATTTTTTATTATACTTACATCTTTTTTACTGTGAACTTTAAATTTTGTATTTTCAATTTTACTTTATTTTGTGAAAGTAAACGGTCTTTAGACAGCAAAACTTGCACTTATTTTCCCCCTAATACATCACACAACTATGCACGCATGTATAAAAAATGGCGGCACTGGGGAGTGAATCTTGTACGTTTTCTGCGGCAGTTAAGGGATTAAAATGTAGTCTTTCACACATTTAGGAGTCTAAAATATTGTAGAAAAAGTATATATATATAATTTACAACATTTTTACAAAATGTTTACTTCCGATCATGCCACTGAATGTTTTGGTCACTAAAACGGTATGTCACTGCTTTAGGGTGGTGTATGGGATTATCCAATTCAGACCTCCTTCTGTTTTGTACTTCCATACAGCATAAGAGTGGGAAAGGGAGAAAGCATTATATTCTGAAGAACTTTGTTCAGTTAACATAACAAGTTGCACTCTTCCTTAACTTACTTGATCCAGCTTACTGTTTTTTGCAGTTTATTATTATTGCAGCTATCTCGTCAAAATTAAAAATTTTATTATGTTGAAAAGAGTTTTTAATTGTGAAGCTGTAGCAGGATCTGCAAGGCAAAAGCATACTTGCTTTCAATGCAATCAGCAAACAGCTAGTTAATGCCAAAATCTATAAGTCTAGTTTTAAATCCAGAAAATATTGCCTACCGATAGCGACAAAAAGAGTTTTGGGTTGATTAGTTGTCACTGTAGTTTAGGAATTCTCAACACAGTAATTACAGGACTTAAATAATGGAACTTTGTAACTGAAGACGTGACTAAAACGTATTAGCACAAAAAAATGAAACCAGCCTAAACAATTTATATTGAAAGAAATGTTTAATAAATTTTGAAGCCCTTTAGATTACAAATGCTTCATTATCATGTAATTTTTCTAGATTTAAACTAGTGTTGTTATTTCATGATTAAGCTGCAGAGGCCTTTAATTCATTTGAAGACTTTAAATTCTTTTAATTTCAACTTTCTCATGAAATGTTACGATTAGGCTACATTTCAAAACTATTACATAATTCTCTTTTTAAAGTACGAAATTCCACATGTAAGGTTTCTTAAATTAACATGTTTGTTTTCTAGTGTGCACATATTTATCAATTAAAAAAACAATACACAAAATTAAATTTTTGCTCATATTTTATTTTTAATTATCCCTAAATAGGTTTCATCAGTTTCCAAAAAAGAAAAGAAGCCCAAGTTGAGCAAACAACAAAAAAGGAGGTTAGCTGAGAAACTGGACTCCAAAGGTGAACGTCCTAGGGGCTGGGACTGGGTGGATGTTGTTAAACATCTTAGTCAAATAGGTTCAAAACAAGCTATTGCAGATCTGCCATCTTAGCACCTACTGGTGATGCCAAAATTGTTGTTCTTGTATAAATTAAACATTGCATCTAAAATGTCTTACATTTTTGTCTTTTGAATGTTAAAATGTGATAATATGCATTAATTTCTTCAAAATCTTGATTCATTGTAAAAATTTAACTTTATTGTTTTAATATAAATTATATATTTTTAATCCTCTAATAATAAATTTCTAATATTTGGGAAAAATAGTTATATTTACAGTTATATTCCTGATAGCAGCAAAATTAATATTTAAATATTAAAACATCATTTATAAGGTATGAATGGAAATTACTTATGAACATCTGTATCACTAGTAATACATTTTATGCATAGAAGTTTCATAAAGCAATTCACATTTGGAGATAAACAGAAAAGTAAATTCCAGTATCAAAAATTTTTTTAACTCTATAGCGAGATATTACATACATTTAATATTGATGAAATTTCGAAGTCAAAGAACAGAGGTGTGTCTTCATCTATCGATTGACCTCATTCATTGATATGTGGTCTTCCTGTTGAGGAAAGCTTTCAGATGCATGGGTTTTCCCTCCTTTTGATCCTTGCTTAACAAATACAAAAAAAGCTAATGCTCTGATTGGGATTCATCTATGTAAAATAAACAAAGCATTCTTGTACCGCTTGGTATATCTCGACATAAAATAAAACAAGCGCTGTTTGGGCTTTTTTGTACTCATTTAGAAAAACTTTTTTTTAGTTGGGATTCTTCCACATCATAAAACTGATTCATCTCCTTGTTTAATAACATTGATAAAAAAATAGTAAAGAACTATTCTACAGTGTTGTGAATTTTAATGATTCTTGAAAATGGTTTGATACTTTTAGAGTGGGGTACGTTGAGAGCAGTATTCAATTTAGATGAATTTTCTTTGTCATTCTAAAAAATAATTGATAATTTTGATATAATGGTTGTTAACTAAATGCAGCCAAAAAATATCTTCATTTTAATGAAAGGAATCATACTTTTTTTAATATACTGATTTAAAAGGATAAAAGGAACAATTTATAATTCTCTGGGGGGAGAGATTGTTTAGAAACATATCTCTGCTTCTATTCCTTTGGCTTTTAAGTGAACACAGTTATGTGCATAAAGTCAGTCTTTATTATAATTTGAGAATTAAAAATATGCATTATAAGAGTGATTAATTTTTTATTTATCATGAAGGGCTCCATAAAATTAATTCAAAAGTTTTTTTATTGTTGTTATGTATTTTATAATACATAGTAATAACAAAGTATTTTAGTTCATAGTTTGTTTTTTATTTCATTTGTCATTTTTTCAAGAAGTCAAAATACTGCTACTTCCTTTTTGGATACAAAATTTTTTGGTAAATATTTGTTTGGATTATACCTTGAGTTCGACTGTGTGCACTACACTTGTTTATCTCTTTCAATTCTGGAAAATATTTTCCGTAGTAAAGGCTAAAAATTAAAAACCAGAAGCTATGATGAAAATCACGAGTGTCCTGGTAAGACCACAAAGTTGGCAGCTATGCAACAAGGTAATATTGTTCATCTTTTCATTCCAGTACTATGTATTTTAATACATATAGTATTTATTTAAATCCATAAAATGACAATACACACAAAATGAATATTTTGCATTTTTATTTTTATAAAAATTCAAAGACATCTAACATAACTGTGATACTTACAATACAGATATTTTGTGCCAAATGTGCATATATAAAATAATATTCAAACAATTTGTAAATAAATGACATCATGAGACCATATCTCGAGCTACTTGAAAAGCTGATATTAGTGCACTAAGCTGTAATTTTTCACTTGTCCCAGCTGTTAAATTATCTCTGGAAATATATATAATATATAATGACATGCAAGAAAGTATATTAGTTACACTAATGTACATTTTAGTTTAGGTGTCAGTATAGAATCATTGAATTATTTGTGAGCAGGAATCCTGCAAAATTCGTCTTCCACCGAGACTCGAACCCGAGATCCTTCTACTGGCTGAATAAATTCAATATTACATTATAGACATAAATAAGGAAACATCTTCCATAGTTATGTGATATATCAAAAGCTTTACAATATTAAAAAAATACACAGATGATTTTATTAAGGGTGATTTCTGCTTATATAAATTATAAATGACTGTTTTACTCATTATTATTTTTTGAAGATTAAATGAAAAATTTTTAAGCATGAGTTTTGTAGTTAATAAAATTTTAATTAAAATGGAAACTGGATTATTTGACACTTTAATGTCAGCTACTGAGATAGTTTGATGGATACAATAAATGCACCAAAAAGCAAATAATAAAAATAAATACAAAAACAAACAAAATTTAGAGGCTATGGGAAACTGGCCTACATTTACATTATACATGAAGGGAAAAAAATCTCATGCAACAAGCTTATTATTGATCATTGGTTTAGAAGTAAAAAATTGTCTATTTTAATAAATGATACAGAAATACATATCTATTAAAGTAATACTTTTCTTTATTTACTGAAGGAAAAATTATCTTTCACCTATGCCTAATTTGCATCTTTAGAGATGAACTTTTCATAATATACATATGTGGCTTCTTTTGCTTATATATATCAAATTACACACAATTCTGAGTATAAATCATAGTGTACAGACAGTAGTATCCATTTTGCAGTCAAGGGAAAGTTTACCACCATACTGACTAACAGGATAGCTGTTTTATTGTGGGAAAAAAAAAAAAAAAAAATTCAAAGGATACATCATGAAATTTCATAGCATTTGCAATAATTTCATGTTTTACGATTACATTAACAGTTTCATAGCAATCTTGAACACAAGCATTTTTAAAAAATGTGTCAACACTGGCAGTAGTAACAGAACAGTAACATAAATAACTATCACAGTCAAACAAACATTAAATTATAGATATTTTAAACTAATACTACTAATTTTATAACAAATTATAGCAGTTGAGAACTAAAGCCTCAAAACTCTGGGTTCTATCTCTAATGGTTGAAGGTTTGGTTGCATATAATTTCTTCGAATTCCCTCATGCATACAGCAAATATGGGCCAGTTTCCATTGCCAAATCCTCTATGAAAACATTCCTGCCAATATGTACTTTGCTATAATCAAGCAATACAGTCTAAGTTCTAGTACTGTTAACATGCTATTGCATAAGGCCAAAGTTTCTGTTTAGGCAAATGGCATTTTCAGGCACTCTTTGTATATGCATTCTTCTAGACATATTGTTTCTTCTCTACTATTACAATAGTATAACATCATCGTAAATGCTTTGTTAAAAGTTACAAAATGCACTTTGACAAGTATCAGAATTATCAAATAATTATAATAGATGGAAACCTAAAATTCTGATTAACAAACATGCCATTTAGATTAGCAAATACTATTGAGAGAACATAATTTGGAAGTTGAAAGTAAATTTGTTAACTGTTTGAGATGATAGCAAGATTGACTGTTTTTAATGGAAGAAAACTATCTCTTATGGACAGAAAGAAAAACTTTTAAAGTATCAATAACAAAATCAGAAAAAATAAAGAAAAATTTGCAGCAGGTTAACTTCAGATTACAGTCTAATGCCTCAAATGAGTTTACTAATATTATTTTTTTTTAACCCTTTGATGCGCATGATATTATTTTTATAATTTTTTTAACTAAAAACGCTAGAAACTGAATATTATGATCCTAGAGACAAATAATATATGAATTTAAAAAAATCTACCCTTGCCCATTGTTCTGTGGGTGGTGGTCGCACTGTGAAACCACCGCGCATCTAGGACTTTGAAATTTACTGAGATAGTAGGGGGGGAACTTACCTTTCTCCACGCCATTTATTGGTTACGAATTAAAAAAAAAAAGTATGTAAGAATTACATTATATATAATTATTTTACAAAGTAAATCGTCAGAAAAAATTAAAAAATTAACATTTATGTAATTTTTCTATAGCAGTGAAAATACATAATAAGGACGTTTGGCGAAATGGATAAAAAATCTCAGTAAAATAAAGATAAAAAAAGATTCAGTGTTTTTTTTTTTTTATTTTTATTTATTTTCATTTCAAAGAACAATTTTTTTTTGTGACACTGTTCAAAGCATGTTTTGTCTTCTTGATACATGCATAGACCCACATTGCACGTTTCACACATGTATCTTCTATGAGGTTTCTTCCTTGTGCTACAAAATGTACACTACCTGGATATAAATTTCGCTGGTATATATCCAGCATTTAGTTTCTTTTCATTTGGCACATGAAATTTGTGGGTTTTTATGTTATTGGGGGGGGGCTTGGTCTTTTTGGCTTTGGTACGGATCATTCATTTCCCATTCATACTTACTTTATTTGTATTTCATCCCAAAATATTTTTAATTTAAATAAAACTTTAAGGGATTTCTATTTTTAATTATAGCAAAGTATATTTACGTTAAATTTAAACCACAGGAAATAATTTATAAAATCACAATACTTGCTTGGGAAGCAAGTGTGTTGAAGTCAGAGAAAAGTCTTTGAAAAAGAAAGACCTTTTTACTGGGCAGGTGCATGTATTGTTTAGTAATAAAATAACTCTATGGTTTCAAAATCCCTTATCTATATCGAGGTAAAAATAAACATTCCTATTTGAGAAGCAAGCAAACGCCACTGTGAAGAGCAGTGGTTTCAAGGTGCGACTACCGAGTCTCTAGAGCATTGTAACACAATGCTCTAGTGGTGCAGTGGCGCAGTGGTTGCGTCCTGAAACTACAAAGCAAATGCCATACATGCAGAGGGGTTTTTTTACATATGCAGTTTAATTATTGCTATTTTTTATTGTTTACGATAGAAATCATCAGATGCGATGAATAAACTTTTGAAATTTAAAGTTGTTTATATTAATAAAAGGAAGTTATTTTGTCTCATGGAAAACAAATTTTAAAAGACATCTGATTTGAAGTACTAAGATCTAAAACATGTATGATTCTGCAGTCAGTATTTTGTGTTATTTAGAGGTAAAAGATCAGTAATCAACTGATTTTCACTCAAAAATTTTGGAAAGAAGAGGAGAAAAAAAATTCAAAAATTGGTGGTTTCAAGGCGCGGCGCATGAAAGGGTAAATTGAAAAATATGAGAAAGTTATATGTGTAATTAAAAATATCTGTTGTTGCCAATTCATAAAATTTTAAATTAAAGCCAAAAGAAAAATGACTTCACTACACTGCACTAAAAACTTCTGTACAAAACTTGAAAGCGATAGCTTATCTCGAAGTAGTTTAAAAATACATAACTTTTGACCATAGTGACAAAAAAGTTAAAATAATCTATTGTTATTTCCTTGTCAGTTCTACCAGATGAAATTTATAATTGTGTTAATTTTTTATTTTGCAGTCATATTCCTGTTGCGTTAAAGTAGAATAAAACATAAGCCAATAATTATATATAGGTACTTACTCTATATTCGCCATTTTTTCAAGTAAATGTATTTTAACATCCACTGGTAATTCAACTAGAAATAAAAAGTGCAAATGAGAACCTTTAGTGAAAGTGTACTGCAATGCATTTCAAAGATTTCTTTTAATTGCTTTCAGAAAATAAAATAGGAAATATATTTAATAACTGAAGAAAAAAAATTTTTTGAAAAGATTTAAAAAACATTGCACAGATCAAATAGAGATTTTTCAAATTAATATCTAAAACAAAAATAGCAGTTAAAAACTTACTTCTGTGAACATATAGATGTACTTGAGTTAAAATATCTTGCAGTGCAAGTCCCTTTGCTGTTTTCATATCATTTATATCTAAATAATTAAGAATGAAACAAAATCACTTTCATAAATAGATATAAGATGTCTAAAGCACAAGTATGTGCATTAAAATTAAAAATCCTTTAAGGTAAGTAAACACTCAAAAAGGCTATTTTGAGATATTTCATTAATATATTTAGAATTGGACATTAGAAGAATGGCAGAAAGTTACGTGGTCCAACGAATCACGTTTTCTGGTTCATCACATTGACAGGTGTGTGCTAATATGCCGATTGTTGAAACAAAACCCTGGCTCTTGAATGCACAGTTGGACGGAGTGAAACAGATGGCAGGGGTATTATGGTGTGGGCATTGTTTTCTTGGAGCATATTAGGACCCATAATCCCCATAGAACAATCCATGATGTCTGTGTGCTACATGAACATTGTTGCAGACCAGGTTCACCATACATGAGAACAGTATTTCCGGCCAGGGGGGATTGGTGTTTACCAACAGGATAATGCACCATGGCATAAGGATCGAATCATCACGGAGTGGTTTGAGGAACATACCAGTGACTTTCAAGTCATGTCTTAGCCTCAATTCACCTGACATTAATCCAATAGAGCATTTGTGGTCCCACCTGGAAAACCAAGTTCGTGCTGCCATGCTGCCCCCTCACAATGTGTGGAAATTACAGGACATCAGTTGGTGAGTGCTTGGTAACAGATACCTCAGACTACGTATCAGCGTCTTGTGGAGTCAATGCCATGCCAGGTGCTGGCAGTTTTGAGGGCTGAAGGTTATCCTACATGTAATTCACAGGGGAACAATAATGTAATGGCTGCTCGGTGTATATACACACAGAAAAACAAGTCCTTTTTTATTATAATAGATATCAAGAAAAAAAATTAAATACTTTTATATGCAGCAGTAAAATCATCATTTAACAACCAGTTCACTATTTTGTTGATGTCTGACTTTAAGGGATGACCAACACAAGCATAGACATTTTCTTCATTTACAACATCAAAAGCTAGAGCAGCACACTGAAATAAAAGAGAATATCTAAATTCAGATTTTGAAAAACTTACTAAGATAACAAAATCTTATAAAGAACAAATTTGGAAAGGAATTACTGTTCTACAAAATCACAGTGAACAAAAGTATAATATGTCATTTGAATTAATGGTTGATATATTCAATTCTTAGGAATCAATACATACGTTGTAATGATTTGCCAAAAATAAAAAGTAAATAAAGAAATTAAATTTTAAAAAAAAGAAAGGCGAAAAACTGTTTTATGCACACATTTTTTTTTTTTTTTAACTTAACAATATAAAAGATAGTCATAGATTCCAACGGTACAATCAAAACATAAATTCAATAACTGAAAAAAGCCTTTTCCAGAATTAGTTAATAAACTTAAAATTTTCAATCATTTGAATTTTAAAAAATATCTGAAATGTTTCAGATTTTAAATTACGTCCAAAGGGGTGTTTTTTTTAGCATTTAGTGTGCTACCTTTATTTATTAAATATCATATTCTTTGCACTTAAACCATAAAATTTAGTTCAATAGCAATGTCACAAAATAACTTTAAAATGAGCATATCTTTAGAATTTCCGATACACAGTTTGACGTGCTGGAGATAAAAAGGTCCCCTTTCCCGTAGAGTGTTGCCATTGCTCGCTTTTAAATCGTTTTGTTACTCAAAAATTCATTAAAGTTTTACAAAATATGAAATCAATAATAAAACAAATTCCAAATTTGGGATTTCAGGTGCCCGTATTCGCAGTAGGATTACGTCATTCAAAATTGGTTGGCTCTAGATATTGTTGTTTTATCACAATGCGAGAAATATACAAACATTTATGCAGATTTTTCATTATTTAGTGTCTTCAAATATAATGCAGAACTTTAATATTTTGTGGCAACAGTTTGAAAAGTGAACTGACATTTATAGGAGTCTGATGCAAAATGCCAAAATGAAAGTAATAGTCCTTCGGGACTCGAATCCCTTTGGACTAAAAACACAGCTTTGAAATGACATCTTTCTACATGTACTTAAATCATTACTTTTTTGCAAATGAAAAAACAAACATTATATCAAGTCAATGATGAATGAAATCTTTCATTTAATTGCAGTACTGCAAAAGTTGCATTACTTTATACAAAGTAAATTAATTATTTAAAACAAATTCCCAACCTTTTTCTTGCATTGCCTCTTTTAAAAAAGAAATTATGCATTATCTGTTTTTATCAACTTTCTTACATTTTTCTCTACACCAGCGATTGATTCTCAACCTTTTGACTAATGCATATCAATAAATGATGTTAATAACATTGAATAATGTTAACGATATCTTTAGATAGCTGTTGATAATATAAGGTTTTCTCCAATAACGTGAGCCTGCTCAGTCTTGGCAATTTTAAGGTTTACTAGGTAACTAGCTTTGAAAGCTTTTTCAATTGAAGTAACAAAGCCTTTAATTACTTGTTTATTATTTTTTAACTCTGATAATTTCCTGTTAAAATATTCTTCAGATCTAGCTTTTAAATTGGTATGCTTAGATTCAAGATGTCTTTTACGAAACAATGGTTTCATACTTTGTTTAGATAAGTTCACTGAAAACAACACATTGAGGTTCAGGGTCCATTTCATCTCCATTCTAAGTAAACCCAAATAATAAATAACTTGCATTATATTTTCTATATTTTTTTTTTTTTCTTTTCAACATTCTTAGTGCTAGTAGATTGTCCTGTATCTACCATGTGTGATTCTGTGAATCATCACTTTTTCCACTTAGTCAATCCTAGCCATTTTCCATTTTGAAAAATATAGGTTTGTTTTATTATTTTTTCCCAAATATTTAAATGCACAATATATTACAAGTTCTTCAAAAACAAATGATGATATTCTCAAATCGCATAGAAAAGCAAGGAATGCAAAGGCCACAAGAACACAAAATACCTGTTAGAGACAGCAAATCAACATAAAAAATAATTCTAATTGAAAATATGAACCCGGAAATGGTGACGACAAATCGATCAACTCTTACAGAATCAATGAGATACCTTTATCTTTTTATAGGAAATTATGTTTACTACTTATTAGATACAACATCCATATATATTACTCTTTTTAAAAACATCATTTATGACAAATTTTGTTATGTCTATGGCTAAAAGAATATTTGTGAAATTGAAAACATTATTTTGCTAAAGTTTATGAGCCGCTGTTGACCTTCAACAAAACTCAGATCACATAACTTTATGAGTGTTAGAGAAAAAACTTAAAAAGGACGGGATATTTAATTTTTTAATTTAATAGTTAAAAATACTTTTGCGTACCACCAGTTGAGAATCGCTGCTCTATACAACATAACCGGTTCTAAGAAGAAAGTTCACAAGCATAATATTCACAGAATAATGCTCAAGGATACAAATGCTCATAGGAAAAAAAACGCACAAGGAAATATACCCGCAAAGAGAAAAAGCTTACAAAAGAAATATGTTCACATGGAAATAAGCCCATTGATAAAAAATTCACATAGAAATTTCACCATCAATTCAATCATCACCTACTTACAATTTTTGAAAAAAATTATTTAAATTTCCAAAAAATCTATAGTATACATCTCAAAAAACTGTATAGCTTGCGTGTAGAGGCTATAGCTATATAAGATTAACAAATGTGACATTTTGAGTTAAGAAAAGGAAGTAAAAATGAAATAGAATATACAATGAAAAATTGTTATGATTTTAATAGTTAAAAAAATAATAGTAAATATAAATTCCATATTTAGAAAAAAAATAGAAATAATTACTTTATTGAAATTACCTTATATTTAAATCATAAATATGTATTTCAAAAAGTTATAAAAACATAAACTTACTGAATATCAGCTAATCTATGTAACTATCCAATTTTATCATCTATTTCATAATAGTCTCTTACATGATTTATGATTACCAAATGTAAGTTTTCTTTCTTTCTTTTTTTTTTTTTTTTTTTTTTTTTGTGTGTGTGTGTGTGTGTGTGTTGGTGTGTTTGTTTACTGCATTTAAATTAGCTAAAACAAACATTGACAGGCTAAATCTTTTTTCAGTCCATCAAATAAAAACCACATACTGGGATAGTTACAATTAAATAATGAATTTAGTGCATTATGAAAGCCTTCACAACAATTTGTGCTTTTAGGAGATTTTTTGAAGGCTCTTTCATAATGATTTCACACTTCTATTGGAAATTGTGGTCTTCTATCCCTAGGGCACTGGATGTGTGTAGGAAAAAAGTATGTAAGAACTTCATTGTACCAATCTTCGTTGGGATATGTATTAGCAAGTTGATTGATCATAAACCTTTCTTTCTTCTTTAATTAGCACAATTTGTCTTTTTTTTTTTTTTTTTTTGCCACATTCTTTATTTACATTAATTTTTAATGGTAATCAAAATAATGTAACATCAGACTTCAAATCACTGATTTCTTGTAAAATGCTGTTTTCCTTGTGTTTTCACAAGACTTATCATCTGAAATAATAGGGAAGATTACAAAAATTTCATAAAAAAAATGTTTCATTCTATTTGCATTACTCATAACTGGACTTTAAAATATTTAATATAAGCATACACTATTCTTTCCTTGCAGCTTTTTATTGATAATATTCAGTTTCTTCAAGCAACACAACAAATTCTCGGTGAATCAGAGCTTGTACATGAATAAAGTTAACTGCTTCCATTATTACTCGTCTGCAAAATTTTGGCACAAAGTGCTTTTTGATGAATAATGCAATGTATAATTATTATAATATTATTTTGAAATTTGTTTTCCTTCTCTATGTTTCTTAATTTTACCTCTATTCCATTTTCTTACCAACCAACGCATCTGCACCATCTCTTGCAAATCCAATTATTTTATTGCGACTTAATTTATACTCATCTATCACAGTTATTTATTTCAGAAAAAATATTTTATGCACCAGTTTTTTTTCCTTGGATAGGAATTATGTCCAACAATTTTTCAATTACTTCAAATTCATTCGTAGCAGCTAATATCAAAATGGCAAGCAGTGTAATATCCAGATATTTAAATTTAACTATTCAAAAATATAAATCTTGGTTCATGCATATCAACTGCCAATATTAAGAAATTAACAATAAAAATAATTTAATCTCATTTGAATACTAGTGATGCATTAAAGAAAAAAGAGCACATTTACATACTTGAAGAACATTAATAACTTTTCTCATGTCTCCTTGGGCTAAATCTATTAAAGCTTTTTGTCCATCTTCAGTGACATTTAACCTAGCATTTAAAAAGAATAAAAATATAAAAAAATAGAGAAGATGAGAAAAGAAAAAAGGTTTTATAAAAGCATTCAGATGTAAATTTTGCAGCATATTCAACTTACTTTTCATTGGCAATCACATATTCCAATCGAGGCAATATTTGCTTGTTTGTGAGAGGACCAAATCTGAATCTTGTACATCGGGACTGAATGGCAGGAGTAATTTTCGACAAATAGTTGCATATCAAGCAAAATCTGGTATTTTCAGTAAACTTCTCAATAACTAAATGTAAAATACACATAAACAGGATTTACAGAAATTCATGACAGTAAAACTACACTGGTGTGCAAAAATTAAGAACGAAGTCGAAAAATTAGCATATCAGCTGAACGAAGAGGCAGAGCGGACAGAAAGACCAATCAGGAGATTAAGTAAGGTGATGTACGGTAGCACATGCGCAGATATGCAGGTAGACGTAATGGGGGAGTGTCTGAGTAGTATAAAGCATGTTGTCGGTAAGATCAGTATTTCTGGCAAAGAGATTGCACGCCGTATAGCAGTTAAAATCACACCGAGTTGCTGCCTCAGCAAGAAATGGCGAATAATCAATCTGTTAGACGACATCTGGATGCTTTTACCCGAGGTCGAATCATTGGGAAGTTGGAGGAAGGCTACAGTGTGACAAGTGTGGCTGCAGAGTTCGAAATTGCTCACAGCATCGTTTCACGACTTTGGAGACAATTTCAAACTACAGGAACAGCTATCCGGGGGTTTAGTAGTTGTCGTCCACGAGGAACCACACCCGCAGATGACCGGTATATTGCCTTACAGGCCAGAAGAAACAGGCGGCAGACAGCGGGAGAAATCGCTAGAGACACAACACAGGCGATTGGACGACCGATATCACGTTTTACCGTGGCCAGAAGACTGCACGGTGGTGGTCTGTTTGCACAACGCCCTGTACCGTGTGTACCTCTAATGCCTGCCCATTAGAGAAGGCGTTCTCTGTAGTGCCGGGAACACCGGAATTGGAGAGACAATGAATGGGGACGAGTACTCTTTACAGATGAGAGCAGATTCAGTCTGAGTAGCGATTCTCATAGCATACTCATCTGGAGAGAGCGGGGAAGCCGCAATCATCCCTCGAACATCATTGAAAGGGCAGGTATGGAGGTGGCGGTGTTCTCCGTTTGGGGAGGCATCATGCTTGGTAGTCGTACAGACCTTCACATCTTCGACGCAGGTTCAGTCAACGGGACCCGTTATTGTAACGAGATTCTTCTTCCATATGTGCGTCTTTTTAGAGGCGCTATGGGTCCGCAGTTCCTTTTCATGGACGACAATGCACCATGTCATCGCACAGTAGCTTCCGAACAGCTCTTAGAGAGTGAGGATATTGAACGTATGGATTGGCCGGCACGATCTCCGGATCTCAATCCCATCCAGCATGTATGGGATTTTCTAGGCAGACGCTTGGCAGCTCGTACCTTACCACCAGTAACGATTCCGGAGCTTCGATTGGCGCTGCAAGACGAATGGGCAGCAATGCCTCAACAACTCATTGACACCCTCATTCTCAGCATGGGCAGACGCTGTGAAACCTGCCTAGCAGTCAGGGGAGATCATATCCCCTATTAAAGACCGGATGTTTCTTGCTGGACACCCATCACAGGGATGTTTCGGGTGTATACGAGCCAGTTTCCCTTAGAAAGTCCTCCACGAAGGCATCCCTCCCCTTAGGCAGATAGCTCTAGTGTGCTTTGCCGTAATTAAATACATCACATCATCATCAGGGATGTTTCGGCCTTCAGTCGCATTGCACTCCATGCTACTTTTTCAATAAAGCTTCTTTTTATCCCTCTGATTTCTCTTTTAGTAAGTGTTGCTTACATTACTCATGTCCTTACGTATTGGGGATCTTACGGTATTAAATGTGTTGATTTGGAAAGTTTTTGTACAAAGTTATATTGAAAAAACCGTCTCGTCCTTTATTTTTACACACCAGTGTAAATATTTATCTGAGATCACATTTACAATTTTTTTAAAGACTACATAAGAATAATGTAATGGTTACCTGCCAACATCATCAAACTCCAACTCCTCCCCCCCCCGAAAAAAAAATTGTTTTATAAACCCAGAATTTACTTAACAAATGTAATCTATAAATGATAAAAATACACATTTTTAAAAATAATGATATATCTAAATAAGATCTGCACATTCTAATTCTTGAATGCATATTGTGCAAGAACACTCATATTCAACAATAAAAAATATACATACTACTTGTACTTTTTATACTATAAATAATCTAGAAGAAAAACAAGTGATTTCAGATATTGGAAATTGTATTTTCGAGTACAAATAACGAAATAATATGCTAAGTTATATATAGAAATCATGAATATTTTTAGGAGTAAGAAAAAATTAGGATAAATATGTTGTAAATGGAGTTGGCAGAAAAACAACTGAAATTCAGGAGTCTTAATTCCTAAATCGGAAGACCTGGGATGTTCGTGTAATGGAATATATGGCTAAATATGAATACTATAATGGAAGTTTGAGAATTATATTTTTCATTTATGAATTTCATTTCGACTGAAATTATACATTTAAAAAAGATAAATGTTTTCAAAAAATAAGATACACAAAATACTTTTTGGGAGTAGAAAATTTAACTCGCCCCGAATTTGCTTTTATAAAAAAACTCATGCTCTGTTTCAAATAAAACAGCAGAAGATTTTGGATAACAGACTATTACCACAAAAAAAGAGTTTACCATTAAAAATTTGAAAACTTTTCAAACAATCCTGAGTCTGTTAGGTAACATAGACACTAGAAACATCTCTTATTATTTAATTACAGCAATACAAATGTCCATAAAAATTATGAGTTAGATATATAACAGAGGTAAAAAACCCTGCCAATACCTGTAATCTGTATAACCTCTTAGATGTTAACAGTGAAATACAGATGGCTTTGCCAGTACTGAAATGTTTTCTAATTACAATGTTACTTAATGTTTACAAGTTGCTTAATTCAATACTGAGGCAATCTACCATGCATTACTCCTTATTGATAATTATAACTATTATCAAATATTCTGCCACTACTAAGTACTATAGTTGAAGATTAAATCTCTGCTGCTTAATTGAGGACAATGAAATATAATTTATGACAACTATCAAATGATAAAGAGTCTGAAATACAATTCTGTAAGGAAAGAAAAAATTTTGTGGCAATCTCTTTAAGAATATATTCAAAGCAATTGTGCCGTTTAGTGATCGTAGAAAATTCCTGCAAAAATTCTATCATATTTTTCCCCGTAGCAGCCTCACAAGCGCACACTTAAAAATTGAGTTTATAACAAAAAATGCCACAATCTGTTTATGGAAATCATTGGAATAAAACACAATGAACACATATGAAAATGATGATCTTGTTACAATTCTGGAATTGTTATGCACAAAGCTGCTAGAGTCTGACAAATTTTGAAAATTTGGCAACTTCTACTAAAGAGGTTGTGTTAATACATAAGTAATGAATTTTTATAATAGCAAAGACAAATGAAAGATTTTACTCATCATCATTTGACTATAAAGACCAGGCCTACATTTTACTGAGAATATCAAATGTGATTTTGTTGAAAGTAAAAACAATAATACTTAAAAAATAAATAAATAAAAATAAAAAATAAATAGTTTAAAGAAAGGTAAACACTGAATTTTGGGATATTCAGAGAGCATGCAGCATTACTTTATGGTATTTATCTCTTACTTTAATCATTTTATTAAATTAGAGCAATCGTCAACTTTACTTTCATTTGCAAAGTGACACCAATCTCTAGACCTAAAATTCTATCATTTTTAATTTTGAAGCTACTTGAAGTCACAAGTATGCAGTTATCTACTATCGATAGCAACATAAAGAAACACTATACAATAGCATGTCTTATCGGTTCCTACTCAAATGCTGTCTGTCTTCGCTCAGTCAGAATTCAGATACATTTCTTATGAAAATTAAAATTATTAAAATTATGATGAAAATTAAAGACTTTAAAGGATCACAAACCGGGAAATGGGAACTAAATTAAGCAATAATCTATGCAGCCAATTTCAATGAGCCATTTTCAATCTCATGATATTATTCTGAGAATATAACAGAAGCATGCAAGATGCATTTTTATTAAACATAACTCTATATTTTATATAACTGTAACTAGTCAAAAACATGACTTTTGAGGTACACGGTTTTGTCACAGTAGATAAAAGTATAGCCATAGGGCTAAGATTGAAAGCCAATACACTCTTTTTTTCAATGAAGATAGCATTCTTGTTGATAACACCCATTTTCAAAGGTTGGATGAATAACAAATCAAGCATTCCAAAACGTTCATTTTGGAGTAACTAATTATTCACAACGTCAATTAGCAATGACTCTGTTACACGCTATGTGTCAAACACAACAACACCAAGACCAAGCCTACATTTTAATGAGAATATTGTGGGCCTTCATAACAAGTAATATGTTCACCAAAGTCAACATACTGTATTAGAAATTTGCATGTGCATTGTATGTTATAAAAAGAATATGAAAATATACATACATTAAAAAAATTATTTATGTTAGTCTTGCTGAAGGCTGCAGTATAGAAGCTATAGGGCATTACATCAGCTGATCTTCAGTGCTCAATAATAAGGGCTTAATAATAATTAAAAATTTGTATATTCACCTTGACATTTCGCTTATGGACTAATGTGCCTTTGGGCTCTTGAAAAACATTCTTTCTATGCACAAACTCACCATGATTAATACATTATGGAAAATAATGGAAGAGGAATAGAAATATTCTGGAAATTTTGCGAAAAGCCTTTCTACCATGGAAGTCACAATGCAGACTTATAGTATGTGTTGGGGGGGTTTCCATATTGAGTTTTTAAAAAGTAATCTAAGAATTTAAACATTAATTAAATGGTTCTGAAATCATTCTAAAAATGTATAAACACCCTTTATATGATACATCGAATGCACTACACTGCATTATCTTTTCTTAAATTATTTACAGAAATAAAAGTATAATAATTAAGTATGTAAAAACTACTAAGCTTAGTTTTACTTAATCTAGAAGTGAAAAATCCAAATAAATGACATGTTACACTGCAGAATTAATAATACCTACTGACTTATCTAAAAATATGTGAATGTTAGAAAAGATACCTCTCCTAAGAGCATTTTGAGCATCATTTGTCATGGCATCAGCTTCATCAAGTATAATCAGTTTGAATCCTGATCTATAAAAAGAAATATTGACATGCAATCTAAAAACTATAAATCATCATTAAATGATTACCTATTCAAAATAACATTCGAAATGAACTTATTGTTAACATTTCTTAAGTTAACAGTGCATAAAAAACATAGTACATACTTCACTTTTGTTGTAGAGGAAAATAATTGCTATTGCTACCAACTTAGAAAATTAAATTTTGACTTGAACAGAATTTTAATTTTAAAAACTCTAGATTCATTTCTGGAATATATATCCCCCATAAATAAATAAATAAATGTTACCATTCGAATAAAATTAAGCAATGAAATGCACAATCTGTATGTTTCATCATCACCATTTGATTTAATAATGGATGCTTACAATACTATACAGAAGGCAAATTAAAGCATGTTGCAATTGATATAAACAGGGCATTAAAAAAAATTTATTTACTATATAATAACACAAACTTTACTGTACAGCACATGAGCATTATTTTAAGCCACATACACTTAGACAATATCATTAAGAAATACAGATAAAATAACGATCAACTAAATGGAAAAATATGGTCTCATTTTTTGCATTATTATTTGCAACAAATGCAATATTAACCACTCAAAACCTTTATACTTATAAAATAGATAATTTGCCTGTATTTTATAGTGCTGAGAAAGATAGGCCCAGGAACATACACAAACTATCTGAAACAAAAAAGGTGGTGTGCAACTTGCGGTGGTTTTTTTGATTTTATTCAAAATTTGATTAAATTATTTTCGGCACTTTTCAATTATTCACATCCTAGATTTCAACATTTGGTAGAACTATTATGTTCTTTGCACATGTGAATTTACCAGCTTCCTGTTTAAGCGAGCAGTTAGGCTAGGTCATTTGAATATACGCTTTGAATTCATTAATTTTAGAGTACTTAAAAATGGGTTTAATGAAAGCAAAGATTTTTGCACTTGACAATCACACATCTATGACTGTAACAAATATTGCTTCTGCGGCTAGTGTTGGAAATAGAGCATTTTTCAAATTCTAAGAAGACAGTATAAAACTGGATCATTTTGTTTAGAAAGGAAGGGCAAATGTGGAAGGAAAAGGAAAATAACTCTAAAATCTGATCAATTCCTACTTCAAAAATAGCATTATTAATCCAATAAAAACTAGCAAAGACCTTAAGAGATCTATTGCCTATATTCATCCTTCAAATGCGCAGTACACTGCACTGATATTTCTTGCTACTGGTTGTAAGGTGAGAAAAGACAATTGAAAAACAATTTTTGACATGTAAACCAATTATTGTGGGCCAAAAAATACAAATCTAGGACCAAATTTTCATCAAGGAGACTTATTTATTTGTTTGTGGCTGCATATTTAACATTGTTAGATGAAGCATGGGTAAATCAATACGACCTCAACATATCTGATAAACTGCAAAATACTCTCAAAAACAAATATATGGGATTTTTTTTTCATTGCAGATAGCACCGGAAATCTAGTTCCTGTTGACGGAATTACGAATTCATCAAAGTACAAAGAAATTTTAAAAGATAGGATTTTTTCTGCTGCCAAAATTATTCAAAAAACATCTTCCATTGGAGAACTGGATTTTCTAGAGGCATTTCACATTCATAAAAATCTTTCTGTTCTAGTTAACGATCCTAATTCCAATCCAAATTTGCCTTCGGCTTTTAGAGAAATTATGTTTTAGTTCTGGTTTCGCCAACAGATGGCGCCACTTGCTTATTCTTGTCCAGGCTTTCTTATCTTATCTAATCATTATTTCCTATCTTGTTCATTTGTGGTTTTGCAGCTGAAGATGATGGTTCGGTAAAACCATCGAAACTAGTCCTGTGAAAAATTTTTGTAGGTATAACGCTGATTTTTGTTGTTTCACTTCTGAATTAGTATTTATTCGGCGTGTTATTGTGTCTAATTAGATAGGATTGTGCCATTCTTGAAACCATTGCAAGGACATTTCTACATGACTCCAATTCAAAATCTGTCATACAAGCTACAATTCGAAATCTGTAATAAGGTTCATGTTACAAAATAAATTTATTACACTACGTTGATTTGGAAATTCACCAGACTTAAATTTGATTGAAAACTTTAGGAAAATTCTCAAGGAACATCTTAGCAAAATGGAATGTATGACAAAACAGAGTATAATTAAGAATGCTATAAAAATGAGAAACCATGATAAAGTAAAAAGAATATGCATATAACCAAGTAGAGTTTTATTAAATGCCTAAGTGCATTATAAAACCCATTAATGCTAATGGAAGACTTATTTCCTATTAATTTTATTATCACTGTATACGAAGGTATCTATATAAATTACCAAAACAATTGCTTTGTTCCAATTAATGTTCCCACTATAGTACTTTTGGTATTGCTGCCAGCAATAACAAAGGGAGGGGCATGATGAGATGTTAAGCCCTTTCATACAAAAATTTCAAATGTTTCTAATCACTTTTGAGTTATGAGAGATAGATATATACATATGTACAGACATCATGATAAAGATCCATTTATGTTCTGTTTTAGAAAAAAGAATTCTTTATTCTATTTGTACACACTAACACTATGCAAATAAATAAATAAAGTCAAAATGGATATTTTGACTGAAATCTAATAATTGAAACTTTTTATGAATACAATACTTCCTTTACAAAGTACAAGTAAAAAGTAAGGAAATAAAACTATATATTTTAAGATTCTGAAAGAATTACAACACTAATAATGATGTTTCACAATTCATAACTGTCACATCAAGATGACAAAGCTTCAATAATTTTGTTTTCAAAATATTAAAAAGTGATAATTTGAACATACGTACTTGAAAATAGTTCGTGTACTCGCAAAGCTCAGTATCTGTTCCCTCACCACACCAATACCACGATCATCCGATGCATTCAACTAAAATTAAAATACAACTTATTTTTTCAGAACTGAGAAATTCCAGAGAAGATAATATCACTGCAAATAATTTTCTTATTTCTGTTTTAAAGTTTTACTGTCACTTTGTTAAAAATATTGGCTGATCTTTGGAATATGGTAACTGGTAGTTTGGCGACATTTTGGAGGCGATAAAGGTTACTACCTAGGACTTTGGTAATAATGTGAGAAGTACTCAGTTCCGATTACGCATTATTTTGTGTGACGGAAATGAGAGATCATGAGATATATCATGTGACATTAATGGACGAATTACAGTTCTTTAATCGGAAAAGGGGGGGGGAATTTGGAAAACTGTAGTACTATATTATTTTGTATTAAGCTTCATTGTGTGTTGTGTGAAATAGTGGAAGTGTGCATGCCACGTAATGAGGATTCTGAAGATTAGGTTAGTATTTTTAATCATTTGAGGATATTATTTTTATGCATTGTTCTAAATGTAAGGAGTAAATAAATTAATATATTATTGGAAAATCGTTATTAGCAATGATTTAGTTTAAAGTAATTAGTATTGTAATCTAATTTTTATTAATTTAATGTTTGTGCTAATTTATATTTTAAGTAGTGTTTTTTAATTTAATTATATTTTAATTTAATGATCGTGATTTTGTGAGTTATATGTTTGCAGTATTTTGGAATACGTTGAGTATTTTCATGCATTTTCGGGAAATTTTTCTAATTTATGAGAAAAAAGCAGTGTACATGGATATAGTGAAGAGTGTGCGCAATTCCATCTTTGTTCAATTCTGAGATTTTTTTTTAAGTAAAAATAAGTTGACGTGTACATGGTTTAGTGATATTTTAATTAAATGATAGTTATTTTGTGAATTTTATGTTTGTAGGAATTTGGTATACATTTCAGTTGAAGTAAACGTGTATGGAAATAATTTAAATATTTGACACTAAGTATTTGTAACCATTTGTAATGTTTGCGGTATGAATTCGTTGGTGACGTTTATAATATAATAGATAATTTATAGGTAAAAGTTTTTGGATATTTTATTTATTTTATACGTGGAAATGTTCATCCTTGGAAAGGGTATATACTTTTCTGCGATCAGGTAATTTCATATATGTGCTTTTTACCGAGTTTAAAGACTCACAGAATTTTTTTGCATTTTCGTGCAAATTTTTGTAATTTATGAGAAAATAGCAGTGTAGATGGATAAAGTTAAGAATGTGTGCAATGCCATTTTTGTGCAATTCTGTGATGTTTTTTTAAGTAAAAATAAGTCAAAACGTGTAAATGGTTTATGTGTATGTGCTATTTCTGAAAAACGCGCAAGGAGTTTTGCGATTGTGCACATTTTAAACCAATTTTTGCAGTTAATATTTGTCATGATTAAGCAGTTTTTGTTACATAAATTTCTAGCATAAGTGTAATTCGGCTAGTAGATTGTTGGAAAAAGTGTTCAGTAAATAAAAAGAAAAGAAACATGTCTTTACTTTGTGAAGACAAAATGGCGGCGAAAAAAAAAAAAAAAAATAGAGGGTTGCTGTAGCAGAGTTGGTCGCCAAACTTTCACCAAAAAATTGCCAAGTTACCATAATCCAAAGATCAACCAAAATATTTCATATGTGTAACATTTAAGACAAAAAAAAAAAAAAAAAAAAAAAGACAATAAAAAAAACTGTTTCCAACAAGATTAGAATATCATTCTACATGATTTTGAGCTTTTAGGGAGATTGTTAACTTAGAGAGGTTAAGTTCACTACAGATGGTCATGATCTCAGAAACAATGGTCACTTTCAGACGTGGCTATTATCAGAGCACTTCACTGCATATGTCATTCAAATTATACTTGCCTTTTAGAATATATTAAAATATGATAAAAAGTTTTAATATATTATCTCGATTCAATGCAATACATTATGGTATTTGTAATTTAGTTTCAGTATTTGACAACATTGAAGTTATTTACTTATGAAAGATTAATCAAGCTTCTTCAATCTGGCATCAGTAGAGAATGTTTTTAGATAATGTTCTGGCTATGGTGAATGCTTTTTTTAATAAAGCTGTTTCCATGTAAACATTTGATATTTATAAATATAATATTAACTTTTAAAAGATAATAATAACATGTGTACACAAGACTGAGTTTTTCTGTTTGAAGATTTAAAAATATTTCAATTCAGTGATATACAAAATATCTTCATTACTATGCTTAAATATGATAGTAAATAAAAAATGTATGAAAACATACATATATTAATTTAGAAATGTTGATTAGGATTGTAATGGGTGCAGAAGAATTATAGAACTATAGAAAATCAGCAATAAAGAAGCAGCCTTGGCAGATTTAATAAGAAGGTATGGCATGTTTAAAATTTCATTTTTATTTTTAAATTTTGCTGCTACACACACACACACACAAACAAACAAAAAAAGAAAGAAAGAAAGACAATTACATTTCTGATATTGTTGCAAAAGGAAGATTAACAGCAAGCAGCAGTCTAGCTAGGTGGAAGTGTAGAAAGCAGGTGCATAATTTATGGAGGCTTATTATGAGAAAGGTTTTGCTGCTAGAAATTCTGAGTTTAATTTCCAAATTAGCAACGTCAACGTTATTACAGGAAACTTAAGTACTCTTTGGCAGATTTGGTGGGATTTCTGCCAATTTTCATGATTGATGGATAATATATATGTAAATATCTTTTTATCTAAATGAAAACAGACTTGCACAAATTCAACACTGTGAACATTAAACATTATACTATTATTATAAGTTTATTTTTTATGAAGCTTTACATATCATTAGAGTTGCCACCATCTACTCAGATTTCGTGCCAACATTTATGTTTGGTGCTAAGTGGCACCCATTAACAGAAAAGGGCCAAGCCTATCCTTATTAAAGTGACTAACCACAGTACCTCTTAGATAATGAGGTATCAATAATTACAATATAAATTAAAATATTTAAATGTATAAATACAGCTGAAGATTTTATAGCTGTAAAATCTCAGCATAGACAAATTTTTGAAAAATAACCTTGGAAAATGTATACCTTAATCAAATTACTTTTCAATTATATCAATCACAGACATTTTAATAATATGATACTAACTACGCAAATAATAATATGAAACATGTTAATTTATTCAAGTAAAAAAATCAATACCATTAGTTTATACAATCAGCATATAAATTATTAATAATACCATAAAGCATACAAACCTCAAGAACCATTCTTCCAAACTCTGCTGGCGAGTATATTTGCTTAGCACAGGCAAGAATAGTTGAAGTTTTACCAGTTCCAGGTGGTCCATAAAACAACAAGTGTGGCAACCTGTCTTCTTTAATAAATTTATTAACTGCAACATAAAAAAAAATGGAAATTAAAACTTAAATAAGGAAACTATAAAAATATACATGCATTTAAAAAAAAATAAAGAATACCTAATTGTAGCTTCAAATTTATCAACTATCACTTACAAATTTGGGTACTGTTCTGTTATCAGGACCAGATTCAGAAATATATGAATGAATGTGCATATGAGTATATGTGTATATATACATAACTATGTAACATTCATGCATATATACATATATTCTGGATCTGGTCCTGATAACAGAACAGTACCCAAAGTTATAATTATATGACAAGTAAGAAAAGGGAAACTCAGATAAGCGACACTTGGCGCAATTTTTTCCGCGATCTTGAATGGTGAAAAATCGCCATATCATCGGGAGGAATTTTTTTATGCCTTGAGGAAAATGGCATCAAAAGGCGCAAATTCCCTCTTCAGCCCAATATCGGGGGGAAAAGCTCTGCTGGGCGAAAATCGCGTAAGGCATCGAGATGATAAACCATACATAGAACAAATTGTAAACGGTTAGTTATTGTTGCGATTAAGTAAATCTATGTATCTTTTTATATTATGATTATATATAACTCCAGCATCATTAACTTTTACACTTCTCTTTTTTAATTCTTACAATTAATTTAAACAGTTATTCATAATAATGGTTATATATGTTTGAAAACATGTTCTTTATATAAATACAGTAATGATCATGAAAATACAATATATATCACATAGTTAATGATGAAAGTTAAAAAAAATAAAATATGCATATATTTCCACAATAACATTGCATCCTCAAAATGTATTCCAGGCTATTCAATCATCCAGTCAGGTTTATATTTTATATTCTGGATTCTTTGATACAGATAATTTCGATTAATGAGATTATTTTTCTTGTTTAAGTACGAAAATAGCTTTCATGTAGGTAGCCAAAGAAAGGCAATCCTGAAATGCATAACTGCAGGGAAACAAGATTTGTAACAAACGCTTCTATGGCTTTTCACGACGTTATGCAATTGTTTAAATTTCAGAGAGACCAATCAAATAGAATAGGACAAGGTTATTTTAATTTGTCTGTATTTATTCCATGAGAAGTTAAATCCTAAAATATTTTTGTACAATTTGAACATTGTCTATAACAGTGGTTTCAAACTGGCAGCCCCCCGAAGCAATTTTATGTGGTCGGCGAATGTATTTCAGTTATGCATTTGTTGCAAATACAGTGATGCAAAGATTTCTATGTTTTACTTATTTGAAGTTTCAGTTTATTTTACATTCATTACTATTAAACATGAACATGAGTAACCTGTCAGAAAAAATCTATAAATATAAATCTTATTCAAAGATACAAATTTAACTAACTTTTATTTGTTTTTTGTGAAAAAATAAAAAAATGCTAATGTTTTGGCTAATGGTTTAGATTTTTGGAACTACTCTTATATGTGCGCTCAGGTCGCCAAATGCAACGACAAATTTTTCGCCAAATATCCACGCTGCGATATTACTATCTAAATTTTTTGTCTACATTTCGAACTTTAAGCCTAAAATGTCTCCAAAAACCACATTTTGAATACACAATTTAAGCTAAAAATCCAAAACAAAAAATTTAGATAGCAAAAATGTAAAGTTTCTAACCAAAAATATTTGACAAGAATCCATGTATACAGCGATATGTTTTAACTTAAAAAAACATCTATGAATTGCACAATCTAGGCAACAAACGAATCTACAAACTACACACACCTCGCTTCAATAAATTAACATAACAACAATAAATTTAAAAGAATACCATGTACACAGCGTTCTGTTTCAACATTAAAAAACATCTACGAATTGCACAATCTAGGCACTACACACTAATCAACAAAACAAACTAAAATAAATTTCAAACAATTAAAAAAAAAAAAAAAAAAAAAAATAACGACAAAAATTCATACTAAAAAAACAATGAACATAACATTCTACAAAATAAGAACAAGAATAAAATAAAATGCATTTACCATGAATGAATGCTTTTTCAAACAGCAGAAATACCAATTTCATACCGCCACATAATGACTATCGTATTTATAAGACAGCCAGACACACTATCCAGAAAATTCATACTATGGTTCACAAATATATGTTCAAAACCTTCTTTTCCTAAATCCTTGTAAGATTTCCAGCCATCCGAAAAAATAGTTGTACAAGTCTCAATCCACTCTTTAATACACTGCATCACCATTTCCTTACTTCTATTATGCACAGCCACTAAAAATAACCTCCCAGACCCTCTTGCAACCACATCTCTCATTGCAACATAGGCAATTTCAAAGCACGCACGACGGGAACCAACGAGCAATTAAACCACTCTAGGAAAAGAGTTTTCAACATCAAAAGGGTTGCCATACAACACGCAATCGCACCAAAAACCAGCGCAGAACAGGACTCGTCGGCACTTCGGTGATTCCAGATTACAGATCATCAGTTTAAATCTGGTAAGATGGCATACAGAAATTATAAAATTAAAAATATGAAACTGTAATTTATGAAATAAAGAGCAATTATGATATAAAGCGTATCAAAATTTTCCAAAAAAAAAAAAAAAAAAAAAAAACCTTATATTTATTTGTTTACTTTTATTAAACATTTCTTTCAACGCGCGCATGCATAAAGCTTACATTACGCATAGTCGAAATTAGAAAATTGCAACCAGAAAACTATTTGATGTGTATTTGTGATATTTATAATGACGAGGAATTTGATTTCATATCAAAGACAGAGTACGTCGAGATGAAATACTACATTTAGCAAGTAATTATAAGCAGAATAAAATAAAAACATCTGCCCTGAAGATAAGGATAGTGCTGACAGATCAACTTCCAGTTCATTACACGCTGCGCTGTATTTTTTTAAAATAAAAATAGATTGTTGGACAAATTTAAAGCAGTGTGCAATGCCTAGTTTGTACAATTCTTGGATTTTTTTTAAAGTGAAAACAGATCGATGTGTACTTGGACACAGAGTTTATGCAATTCTTTGACTATTTATTTTGGATTTGTGTAGCAGCCATCTTGAAATTGTGCCTTCCTGGAGCCGATCTTGGCGTCAAAAAAGTATCGCCAAAAGAAAAGGGGCACCCAAATTAAACTTTTACCATTTAATTAATACCATCTCGGTTTAATCCTAGTATCCGGTGCACATAGGATTTGGCTACTTTATGATAAGCAGCAAAAACGGAACATATAGCAAAAACGGGGCATATACGATGAGTAGTAAATGGGTCAGTCAAAGAATATATATAGTTATATATAGTATATACTATGTATATACACACATAGTATATTGATGTTCTTTGGATCATTTTTGGTGATTTTCAAAATCGCGTAACTGTATATTTTCTTTGAATGATCGGTTAACTACTCATCGTGTATGTCCCGCTTTTAATGCTCATCATAAAGTCGCCAAAAGTAGCCAAATCCTGTGTGCACCGGATACTAGGATTAAACCAAAACTATATATATTTCATCATTATAACATTAGCAATCCCTATTATTTGTTCCGAGTGTTAAGTCTGTGCTGAGTTTGTTCACAGAGGTAAAGGCAAAAGATTAAAGATTTACCAGTTTGCTTCATTGTTGATATTTCAATATTTTCATCTGCACAAGTATAACGTTAAAAAATAATAGTGCATACTTAGATTTTAAAATTTCGTGGTATCCCAGTCAGCAACTTTGCGATAATATAAGGGGTACCTTAAAGTCTACTCTACTTATCAAAAGTTTTAACGAATATATTCGTGAGATTACATTACAACATTCATGATGTGTATATACTTATATTAATAAAATTACTTGTTAATCGTAGGTGTAAATGTATTTAATATATATACATATTGATGATATGACGTATTTGTGGACAGTGTAAATGCATTTAACAATTTTTTCTATGTACTCACTTGTTCGAATAATGTCCTCATGAGCTATAAGATCATCTAGCTTTTCTGGTCGATATTTTTCAACCCTAAAGAATGAAAAATAATTATTAAAAATATAATTTGATACTAAAATGAATAAAAATGGGTAAATTATTTACCAGGGCAAATTATAAGTTACAAGTGTCTCCCCCATTGTTTATAAATGCGCGCTCAGTAAAAGCACAAACTACTTGCGGTTTCAAACACCCAATAATTTTTTTACTTTAATTTTTTTACTAATTTAAATATAAATATTAGTTACCAATTTTATGACTCGGAAGGAAGGCTCTTAGAATTTTTTAGACAGTGTTATTTTGATTATAATAAAATTTTAAATAAATGAGTAAAAGTTTTTTTTTTTTTTTTTTTTTTTTTTTTTTTTTTTTTTTTTTCTTTTAATATAAATATATATTTTTACAAAACACATACAGCAACAACAAAAGTTTCTGTGACTTAAAATTGGTTTCTTTTTAACTAAACAGGGATATTTAAGACATCATTAAAAATTTTCATATTTTTCCATGTATTTTGAAATCTGGGGGTCCTTGAACAGTTTTTACAAAAATGTAAAATTTTTCCCACGTAGCAAAAAAATTCAATTCAGGTTTACTCATAGCAATAATTACAACAATTTTAACTATTTCGTATTAGCTAAGAATTTTATAATATTTATTTCTGTTCAGAAGAAGAAGATGCACATTAATAGGGTTGCTAAATGTATCTCTGCGGCAGTCGGCTGATTTGGACGCCAAATTATAACGTACTTGGCGAAGCTAAATTAAATACGAATTACCGCTAATGTCTTTAAAAAGACATAAATAAGGAATTATATTCACCGTATTGAATTATTTAAAGTATCTTTCCTCATGTAATAAAATCAAAAATATATGTGTTGTAAATTAATGTGAGATTTCTTTCATATTTCCTTTTTTAAAAATGAGTTCGATGTTCAGCTTATAATGAAACCGAAAGCTTTTCCTTTATAAGATATAATTATGTTAATTTGTAATTATATTATAATAAGTAATATTTTATAATTCATAAATCTTCGATTATTAAATAAATTATACATTCTATCCAATATGTCTTTCAGAAAATCTATGCCTTTCAGAATATCTACCACGTGTTTATGTTCAATGTTGCGCCAAATATTGCAACCCATACATTTCTTTGGCGAGAAGAGCGAAACCGGGCAAGAAAGTTGCCCAATGAGACACCCACTTTCCCATGATGTCATATGTCTCATGACGTCAGGTAAGAGCGTGCTGTGCGTCAATTGGATAGATGATCATGGAACCTTCTAGAACATTCTTATTTCCCTAAAAAGGGCGGCCATTTCGTACAACAGCGATTTGTCGTTCTTTTTGCGTGAGCTGCCGTTGAACCAAGTACCTTGTGTCGTGTGATCACTAATCTTAACTGCTTGATTTCGCTAAAATGGCTACCGTACCAGCTATAGGTATAGATTTAGGCACCACATATTCTTGTGTTGGTGTTTTTCAACATGGTAAAGTTGAAATTATTGCAAACGATCAAGGTAACAGAACCACACCCAGTTATGTGGCTTTTACTGAAACTGAACGATTAATAGGAGATGCTGCTAAAAATCAAGTTGCCATGAATCCCAGTAATACTGTATTTGATGCTAAAAGATTGATCGGACGACGTTTCGAAGATGCTTCTGTACAATCAGATATGAAACATTGGCCTTTTGCAGTAATTAGCGATGGCGGAAAGCCGAAAATTAAAGTAGAATATAAAGGTGAAGATAAAACATTTTTTCCTGAAGAAATTTCATCTATGGTGTTAACTAAAATGAAAGAGATAGCTGAAGCTTATCTCGGAAAAACTGTCACTAATGCTGTTGTTACTGTTCCTGCTTATTTTAACGATTCCCAAAGGCAAGCGACCAAAGATGCCGGTACTATCGCTGGATTGAATGTTTTGCGTATTATTAACGAACCTACCGCTGCTGCTATTGCATACGGCCTTGACAAGAAAGGTACAGGTGAAAGAAACGTGCTCATTTTCGATCTGGGAGGAGGTACTTTCGATGTATCCATTCTGACCATTGAAGACGGAATTTTCGAAGTAAAGTCAACTGCTGGTGATACCCATCTTGGCGGTGAAGATTTCGATAACCGCATGGTCAACCACTTCGTTCAAGAATTCAAGAGGAAACACAAGAAAGACTTGACTACCAACAAACGAGCATTGAGAAGGTTAAGAACTGCCTGTGAAAGGGCTAAGAGAACCCTGTCCTCAAGTACTCAAGCCAGCATCGAAATCGATTCTCTCTTTGAAGGTGTAGATTTCTATTCAACCATAACAAGAGCCCGTTTTGAAGAACTGAATGCTGATTTGTTTAGAAGCACATTGGAACCTGTTGAAAAGGCTTTGCGAGATGCAAAATTAGATAAAGCTCAAGTCCATGATATTGTCCTGGTAGGTGGATCTACTCGATTCCTAAAATTCAGAAGCTACTGCAAGATTTCTTTAATGTAAAGAACTTAACAAAAGTATTATTAATCCAGATGAAGCTGTCGCAATATGGTGCTGCAGTCCAAGCTGCAATTTTGAATGGTGATAAATCTGAACAAGTGCAAGATCTGTTGCTGTTAGATGTAACCCCCGCTGTCTCTAGGAATTGAAACTGCTGGGTGGTAATGACTGCTCATCAAAACGTAATACACCATTCCTCGTCAGACACAAACATTTACAATTACTCTGATAATCAACAGTGTCTTGATCCAAGTTTACGAAGGGTGAACGTGCAATGACCAAGGACAATAATTTCTTGGAAAGTTGAATTAACTGGCATTCCTCCTGCACCTAGAGGTGTCCCACAGATTGAAGTTACCTTCGATATTGATGCCAATGGCATATTGAATGTGTCTGCTGTAGATAAGAGTACTGGAAAAGAGAACAAGATCACTATTACAAATGATAAAGGAAGGTTGTCCAAGGAAGAAATCGAAAGGATGGTGAAAGATGCTGAAAAGTACAAGGATGACGATGACAAGCAAAAGAGTAGAATTGCAGCCAAGAATTCTTTGGAAAGCTATGCTTTCAATATCAAATCTACTATTGAAGACGATAAGCTCAAGGATAAAATCTCTGAAGATGATCGTAGAAAGGTTCTTGATAAAGTAAATGATACATTGAAATGGTTAGACAGTAACCAGTTAGCTGAGAAAGAAGAATTTGATGACAAGCAAAAAGAACTTGAAGGTATCTGCAATCCAATTATCACAAAAACTGTACCAGTATGCAGGTGGTGCACCTGGTGGAATGCTGGCGGATTCCCTGGAGCTGGTGCAGCCCTGGTGGTGGTAGTACGGGTGGTCCAACTATTGAAGAAGTGGACTAAAAAACTGAAAAAACATTCCGTCGTTCTTTCATGCACATTAAGTTATATAAAAAGTAGATTGTGATGGAAGTTGTTAAGAGACTTAACAGCTCCAAATGATTGTTGCTGAGGACTACTTTCAAGCATTTCTAAAGTTTTTCATTCAGGTAATTTAAATTTGTGGCATTCATCAATTTCATCGATTTTTGTTTTGAACATTAAAATTATCATCTAGTTAACAGATTTTTTTGGCTGTAAAGATCTTGCTTTTTGTATTAATTATGTTCATGTTTCAATAAAAGTCGTCATGTTAATGGCTAGGCATATTTCTCTTTTTCTGCAATTTTCCAATTAAGGTAAGTGATGTTTTTCATTTGTTGAAACGTATGGTAAAATTAGATTTTAGATATGTGTGAATTCATTTTTTCAATAGCTGTTTAGGTTTTCTCCCTGAAAACTTGCTGTAAAGTAATGCCCATTGACTTTATCAGCACTGGTAACTATAACTAAAGCCTAGAAAGTGATTATTAATTTAGATATGTAGATTTTTTAAATATTAATGATTGTGTAAGAAATTGAGCACTTATAAATAATGAAATAAGTAGTGTATTTATTTGTAATTTCTTAACTGATGCTTGAAATTTATTCACTTTATATAAAAGATATTTGGGATAGGAAATGGAAATTACAGATCTTGTGTAAATTTAATTCATATGCTGTTTAATGAGTTACGATGACATATTTATAGAGCTATGGGTAATCTTTGTGATTTCTCCAGTGGTCTTTTTTTTTTTTGTTTTTTTTTTTTTTTTTTTTTTTTTTTTTTTTTTTTTTTTTTTTTTTTTTTTTTCCCAGATATAATAATTTAATGTATTTAGTTTACACATAAAGCATGGTAGTAAGTCAATTTTGATTATTAGCTAGGAAATATAGTTTATTGTACTTAAGTGCCACCTTCCTTAAAAATCATGTCTGTTTTTGTTTGGGTGAATAGATGAAGACACTTGAGCATCGGTTATTTACAAGCCAATTAAGGACTGAAGTGCATTTGATTTCTTTACTTATTGTTGAAATAGCAAAGCAAATTATGTTAAGTATTGCTATTTTGGTTAGGTTGCCTGTAATACATTTTGCATATTGTCTTCATGAAATGTTTCATAATGCATAGCTGAAAGTGGGATTGAAATTTTTGTTGAAAGAGTGGGAAGTAATGTATATGAATTTTTTGGTTGATTTTTCTTATGAATCAGAAATGATCAAATTAGTTCTATAATTTCTCTAAAATCTGGGCACTTCTACAGTCAAAAGAGTCTAAATGATTCTGGAACTTTTTACTGTAGTGATCTATACTTATCAATTACAATAACATGTTAGATACTGAAAATGTATAGTTTTTATTTTAATTAAATTTAAAATGTGTTTATAAACTTTTATCAACCATAACAATTTTAGATTGTGAAATTAGTGAAGGCAGTAAGTAGACATGATTAGTATAAGTTGTAGGTTTCCAATCTTTTATGTAACAGTTAAATCTCTAGGTACCTCATGAGCAAATAATCGCCTCGGTTTATCTTAATAAGCCATTATTTTTGAAAATAAAAACTACACTGGCGGCTTCTTTTCCGGAGTGTATAGCAAAGCCTCCACTTGTGCTTAAACTCAAAGTGATCAGAAATAAAACTTAACTAATGCTTAGTTAAAAATATCAGTTGCAGGTATCAAAATTCAAAGTAGTCTGACCCTAAATATCAAGTTGGTGAAGCTGTCAAATGTCATGAAATATGGCCGAGCGTAGCTTAGAGAGGCTTAATGAAAAAGCGAACACGTGCTAGTCAA